TCTCTCTCTCTCTCTCTCTCTCTCTCTCTCTCTCTCTCTCTCTCTCTCTCTCTTTCTCTCTCTCTCTCTTCTCACTCTGTCTCACACACATACACACAGAATCTTATGCATATGAAATGCTTGTGAGTTTGTGTGTGTGTTGTTTTTTGTTGTTGGGTTTTGTTTTCATGTGTGTGTGTGTGTGTGCACATGTGCATGCGTGCTAAAGGAACACACACATTTCCCCCTGAAGTTTTAACAGTATATGGAATTTAAGTGTCTGGAGTACTTTCTTTGTCCACTTTGTTCTTACTAAACATGTAGCCTACATTTTCTATGTATGAACTTGGTATGTGATTTTGAGTGTTTTAGTGCCCAGTCAGGTTGATGGTTGGAAAGATTAGCAGTTGAGTATATTTTTGGCATTTGGTTTGTAAAATGCCAGTACTAAAAATCTGTGGTGCAGAAGTTTCCACATTCCCTTCATAGATTTTTGTTTCTATTCAGCTTGTAATCACAGTTTCTAGGAACTCTATTATGAACATAAGGAAAAACTTCTAGCTAAAAATAAATATGTTTATTGAAAATTTTAAATTGTCAGTGATTCACCTATTATGTGTCAAGTCCTAGCGATGTGACAGTGATGTACTAGTTGAACTGTTTAAGTTAATCTTCCAGGGCTGAGTGTAGGAAATAATACAAGTATTGTAAGAGGACAGAGAGTAATTATATGTAAGTGGCTAGGGTTTTTTTTGGGGGGGGGTCCTCATTTTTTTATTAGTTCTTTGCGAACTTCATATAATGTGTTTTTATCATACTCAACCTACAACTCCTTGAAGTTCCTCTACCGCTTCCCTATTCACCCAAATTTATGTCCTTTTTCTTTTTCTCAGCAAGTCTACCTTGTGCTGCCCATATACTCTTGAGGTGTGTGGCTATCTGTTGGAGTTTGGCTGACCTACCAGGGACTGCACCCTTAAAGAAAACTGACTGTCCCTCTCCCAGCAGCTAGATCTCAGTTGTCGATAGCTCCTCAGCTAGAGTGGGACTTCTCTGTCCTGTGCAGGTGGCTGCTTTAGGAGGTTTCAGTGACACTGTGTCAGCTGCCCTGTCTCTTGCCTCTTCTGTCATTCTGTTGCTCAAAAGGAGCTACTGTTAAGCCTCCTTTCAGAGGCTTAACTTTTAAAACTTTAAATATTTACTAGAGCATAGACTATGATTTGTGTTTGACAATAATATGTTGTGGACATCATTTCATATCATAGTTGAGTTTCTCATTTTAATGTCCGTCTGGTGTTCCATTGTATGGCTGTCTATCATTATTATATTGTTGAATACCCAGAGTTGTTAATATTTGGTCTGCGAGTCCTTGGAATCTTTATCTAATCTCACTGTATCTTTATATAACTGTGGTTATAGTCACAGTATAAATTCCTAAGCACCACCAGTCACTTTTTTACCTAATGCTTAAGTTTGAACAAAATTCTGGAAATCAAATACTCCCATATTATAAGTCTTGATACCTCTCTTCCTTGATCCTCAGGCATTACACATTTTTATCCAACTTCACTTACAGGGTGTCGTATAGCTTAGGCTCCCTTGATGCCTCCTCTCAAGAGCTGAGATTAGAGGCAAATGAAACCATGCCCAGTTATTTATAACATGAATAGAGTGAAGACATTGACTAAAATCATATCCAGGGCATTTATTATCTATTTTCTTCCTAATATGATTTTGAAATCTCTCTTCTGATCTTCACATGACCAAAATTTTCAACCAGCCTGTGGACTCTGTAGTCAGACTTCCTACAGTGAAATTCTTTGTCCATTATTTATTAATCATGCAACCTTGAATGAAGAATGTTGACTTTTGCTTCAGTTTCACCTTAAATAAATTAGGGTAATAATAATCTATGTCATGATTTTAAGAAATGATTGACAGGCAAAACATTTAGCATCATTTCTGATCCATTGATGGTAAAAATTGATATTAGCTGGATTTTTGTTTGTTTTTTTTTTTGTTTGTTTGTTTGTTTTCGAGACAGGGTTTCTCTGTGGCTTTGGAGCCTGTCCTGGAACTAGCTCTGTAGACCAGGCTGGTCTCGAACTCACAGAGATCCGCCTGCCTCTGCTGGGATTAAAGGCTTGCGCCACCACCACCAGGCCATATTAGTTGTTTTAATTAATTGTTATCTTCTTCCTTCCATTCCTATAGCAAGATTTTTTTTAATATCATTGCATAATATGCATTTGGAAGGCCTGGTGGCTCGTGCCTGTAATCTAGCACTCAGAAAGCAGAGGCAGGAGGATCAGCACAAATTCAAGGCCTGTCTGATTTACAAAGCAAGCTAAGGGCACTTGGGCTACAGAATAAGACTCTGTTTCAAAAAACAAGCAAACAAGTCCATCAGACCTTGTATTTCATTACAGGCTGATTTCTCTGTTTACAGATTTTATCATCCTATCCATATACCCCTTAAAGTCAGAGAGAATTTGTATTTTCTGCCCCATTACCAGCACTACTTTGTGCCTTATTAATATCCATTGGCTCACTATACATAGTTTTAGAGGATCAATCATAAAACCAGTATTTCTAAGTACAAAGCTGGTTTTTAGCTGTATAGTTTTGTAATCTTGTCCTGGTTGAAAACAAACTGTAATAATTACATTTTCAGGAGATGACGCATTCATGGCCTCCCCCTTTAACGGCTATTCATACACCATGCAAAACAGAACCTTCCAAATTTCCTTTTCCAACTAAGGTAAGTAAATCTGTCTTTGATAATGTAAGAAAACTCAACTAAAATCACATAAATTCAGAATTGTTTCCTTAGTGGTAAACACAGTAAATAAATTTAAAAAATAATTTTAAGTACTGATGGTTTCTATGAAGAAATTTAAAAATAATAGAATTGAGAGCATCTTGCACTGAGAGGTACTTGAGAAAATTTGGAAGGTGAGAGCGAGAGAGTGAGAGAAGACTTTGATGTTTTTTGTAAATTCATGGTATTCTAGATGGAAGGTAGCTAGGGCTATTAAGGTTATTTTCTGAGGAGCCTCTCAGAACCTAGCCACAAACATACTTATATCCTATAAGAAAAGGCCCTTACACATCAGTTTTTAGCCTGTCTAAACTCTGCAGATTAATTTTTTAAACATGAATTTATACTCACACAAACAATCTGAAAATAGAAGGCTGGGTGTGGAGAGCTTATGCTTGTAATCCCCAGCACCGTGGAAGCACAGACAGGAAGATCAGGAGTTTAAGGCCAACCTGGCTACATTTTCAGAGTTCAAAAATTCTCGCCCTAATGATCAATCAAAAATACTTTCTCATGTGAAAGTTTGTTCAGGACATCTAATACCAGCCCTTCCCTGGTTCTTTTTCTTTAGCTCATCCAATTTCATGTGTCTTTGCAAACCTTTTCATAGCCTTGCATGCATGTGTACAAACTCATAAGTGTAGACTCATTCCCATATAAATATGCTATTTCTATTCAGATAAATTTTTTTGTATCATTAATCTGTCAGCTGTGGTTTTGAGTTGTTTCTATGTTGTTTACTTAGAGGTATTTAATGTCTTTTAAGTTTGTCTAAAGTATGAATTATCTGACTTAGCCAGATCTCTTTGATATTTAATTTACTATCAGTTTTAATTACTGCAAGCATTTTTTATTGTTTGTGTATGTGTATGCATGTGTGCTTGTGTATATGCTTGTGCTTTTATGTGTGTGTGTGCTGCAAACTCGTTTCTTCCTTCCACCGTGTCGATCCCAGGGATGGAGCTCAGGGTGTCAGGCTGGCAGTGAGCACCTTATTCACCCAGCCATCTCACCAGCCCTCATGTTTTTATTGTGTGTATGTGTTTTGAGCATGTAAATATGTTTGGGGAGGGGATGCTCATCCTGTGCACTTGGGTGTGGAAGCTGGGTTCTGCATCAATGTCTTCCTATATTGTTTCCCGCTTTATGTTTCTTACTTTTTGAGGCAGTGTTTCTTGTAGCCCAGACTGGCCCTGATCTCTGTGTAGCTTATAATGATCTTAAACTTCTTTTGTATATATGCTTGTATGTATACACATGTATGTACAGGTATGCATATGCATTCATATGTGTAGAGGCTTAGAGGGAGACAATTGATGTCCTCATCCTATATGGCTCTCTGCCTTACTCCTTGGACACAGGCTTTCTCTGAATCTAGAGGTGTTTTTCTGCTAGGCTAGTGGGCAGCAAGTCCCAGTTATCTTACTGTTGTTCCTGCCGCCATCCTCATTTGCTTTTGTGTCTGTTTGTGTGTGTGTGCACGCACGTGCCTGCATGCACATATGCACATGTGTGAGTGTGCTGGAGATAGAACCCAGCCTGTGAAAACAAGCCGTCTTCCCTGTTCTTGAATATATCAGTAGTTGTGTTTTTTTTCCTTCTTCTAGTAAGCTTTTAATGAAAAAAACAAAATTTCTTTATCTGTTCAGTTGTTAATGAATATAGAAGTTACTTTTAGGCTGTTAAAATATCTATAAACATTATTAAACATTATTGTATATATTGTAGACTTTGTCTTTCTTTCTTTCCTTTTTCTCTTCCTCCCCCCCCCCTTTTTTTTTTAAAGATTTTTTTTATTATGTATACAACATTCTGCCTCCATGTATGCCCACACGCCAGAGGAGGGTGCCAGATCTCATTACAGATGGCTGTGAGCCACCATGTGGTTGCTGGGAATTGAACTCAGGACCTCTGGAAGGGCAAGCAGCCAGTGCTTTTAACCTCTGAGCCATCTCTCCAGCCTCTCTTCCTCCCTTTCTTTATTTTTTCTTTTTCTTTTTCCTTTTTTTTTTTTTTTTTAATTTAAGACTGGGTTTCTTTGTCTTGGAACTCATTCTGTAGACCATGCTGGCCTCAAACTCACAGGGATCTGTCTGCCTCTGCTTGCTGAGTGCTGGGATTAAAGGTTTGCGCCACCATTGCCCAGCTATGTTTTCTTTTCCTATGGGCAAATACTAGGTTATATGGTGAAAAGAATTGCTGAGTCATGTAGTAAGTGTGTGTTGCATTTCTGAGACATTGACCACTGTTCTCTGTTGTAGTGTTCTCTGTAGTGACACTCCTGCTTTCCCCTCCCCCCATGCACTACTTGTTCTGTATGTGCTTCCAGCTTACTGTTGTTGGTCTATTTACATTTAGTCATTTTAGCGGGTGTGTTAGAGGTATGTCATTCTTAATTTATATTTCCTTAAAGACTGATGATGTTGAGTCATTTTTTTCTGTGTGTATATTGACTCTTCCTATATGGGATGAATAATTCCATATATTTGGAGTCAAAAGTGTTTCTAGTTTTAGTGTTTCAAGTTTTTTGAAATACTTCCATATAGGAAACGAGCACTGTGAACTGAAGTATGAACATAAAATTGATTTATGTTTTATATATACCTTATACACATAGCCTGAGAACAATTTTATATATCTTTATTTTGCTGGCATTTTTTTTTTTTTTTTTTTTTTTTATTTTGTTTTTCGAGACAGGGTTTCTATGTGGTTTTGGAGCCAGTTCTGGAACTAGCTCTTGTAGACCAGGCTGGCCTCGAACTCACAGAGATCCGCCTGCCTCTGCCTCCCAAGTGCTGGGATTAAAGGCATGAGCCACCACTGCCCGGCTTTTGCTGGCATTTTGACTATCCTTCATTATAAGGTTAGATATGTAAATTTTCCTAAAAGTTGCTTTGGTCAGGTATTTTTGTTACTGCAACAAGAAAAGACACTAATACATTTAACAAAAATGAGAAGATAAAACAAGGTGGCTCTTCTAGAGGTCCTGAAACTACATGGTGACTCATCCCCCAGCAACTATGTGGTGACTCACAACCGTCTATAATGAGATCCAGTGCTATCTTCTGGCCTCAGGCATACATACATATATACATAATAAACAAACAAACAAACAAATAAATAAATCTTTAAAAAAACAAAACAAAGCAAAACAAGGACTGGCTGGGGGTTGGTTGTGCTTGTCTTTGACCCCAACAGGCAGGGCAGGCATTTCTCTTTGAGTTTGAGGCCAGCCTTGTCTACAGAGTGAGTTTCAGGATGGCCATGGCTGCATAGAGATACCCTGTCTCGAAAAGATGAATAAATAATTAAATAAAACCAAGGACTGAGGCCAGCAAAATGGCTCAGTAGGTAAAGGTTCTTTCCCCAAGCCTGATAACCTGACTTGATCTCTGGGACCTGCATGATGGAAGAAGAGAACTGGCTCCCACAAACTGTCCTCTCCCCCACCCTTGACAGGGTTTCTCTGGTTGATTTTTTAAACTCATCTCTTTTTCCCTTAGTTTTTCTTTTTTAGTCATTTCTACCCTAATTTTTATGCTTTTTCTTCTACTTTCATTTACTATTCTTTTTAGTTTTTTTCTTGAAATTGAAAATAGTATCATTAAACCGTGATTTTTCTGTATTTATTTATATAAATAAATACATCACAAATTTTATTTTATTTATTTTTTTAAAATCTATTTATTTATTATGTATACAGTATTCTTGGTATCCTGCCTGCATGTATCCCTGCAGGCCAGAAGAAGGCACCAGATCTCATTACAGATGGTTGTGAGCCACCATGTGGTTGCTGGGAACAGAACTCAGGACCTTCAGAAGAGCAGGCAGTGTTCTTAACCACTGAGCCACCTTGCCAGCCCCATCACAAATTTTAATATTCTGTGTTTTAATAACTTTTTTATGGCTTATTTTCAAATTTTGGTTTATTTGTTTTTTGATTTTTCAAGACAGGGTTTCTCAGTATAGCCCTAGCTGTACTGAACTCACTCTGGATTCAAATTCAGAGATCCACCTGCCTCTGCCTCCCAAGTGCTGAGATTAAAGGAGTATTCATCACCACTGCCTGGTTGAAGTGTTTTTTTTTTAAAGAGTTAATATTTGGGAGATTTTCCACATATATTACTGATTTGTGGATTAATTCCTTTTGGGCCAGAAAGGATACTTCATATGATTTGAATCATTTTATATTTATTAAGATTTATTTAATGGCCCAGAATATTTCTCCTTTTTGTAACTATTTTCTGTACACTTGAAAAGAATATATGTTTTGCTATTCCCAAGTAGAGTATTCTGTGTGTGCCAAGTCAAATTGGTTTAGAGTGTTAGGCAAGTTTTCTGTGCTATTTTGTCAGCTGCAGTGGGGGCAGGAACTAGAAAAATAGCTCTGCTTCTCTCTTGTAGCAGCCTGAGGTTTTTTTTCTATGACCAGGAGAAGTCAAGATTTTTTTTGGCTTCAGAAAAGAATTTCCATATAAGTCAGAATGAAACAGAGCTGAACTGTATTAGGAATAAATTTGTAAGTAGATTTAAGTATACACATTAAGGAGAAAGAAATACAGTCAGGAAAAATAGGGAACATATTCAAGAGCAAGGTTATAGTCTTCTAAAGAGTATCCCAAAAGCTTACATTAGCTGTATATTGCATTTTGGTGGCTTCTAAAGTTATCCCAGCAGTTGCTAAGGAACCTAAGTGAGATCATAGAGCAGTTCTGGTGATGGATAGGATTTCAACTGGTAAGGTAAAAAAAAAAAATCCTAGGTCACAAAGATCATGTAGGAAATTAAGATGTTTTTATTATAAAGTTTACAAACTTGTTTGTATGATTTTTTGAAATTCAAGAAATTTTCAAGTTTATATCTGTGAAAGGAGTATACTCAAAAGTCATGTATGCTCAGTCTTTAAAAATGGTTCCCGGCTATTTTAACATTTTTATTTG